AAAAAAAAAAAAAAAAAAAAAAAAACACATCATAGTAAAACCAATACCTTCTCAGCTTCGCATCGAAGCTAAAATAAATTTCAAAATCAATTGCTAGCTATCATAAATACATGGTTCAAAAATGTATTTAAAACATAGAAATTATTTTAGATACCTCAAATTTAAATTATTTTTTTTACTCTTATCAGTTTTTCTATTTCTCATTCAAATCCGATTAACAAATTTCTTATGATCATTTATCTAACTCAAAATATAATATCGAAATTGTTTTGCAGAGAATGTATCAGCCGCTCCATCAACGACTTCATCTTCAAGTGGAAGTATAAAAATAATTAACTCTAACGTTCCTCCAGTAGTTAGAGCATATGATGCAGTTTCTGGAGCAGATTCTATCCTGTTGGCTTGTGTTTATACACTAAATACGGGGGGCGAAGAGGACAGTGATCAAGGAAATAGCACTAGTAGACATAGTAGACAGATAGAAGATTTAGAAGAATATCAAATGAAACATGGTATTGTAGTAAGATGGTATTTTCGTTCTAAATTAGTCGATGACGACGACGAAGTCAGTGAGAATTCAATTTTGATGAAAAATGAAGTTCAAGTGTACCAATGGATAGCCGGACATGAGCCAAAAGCAGGCAGTGCGCTTGGACCGTTCCGAGGACGTGTCATCAATGCTAGTTTACAGCCATCTCCCGCATCTTCAGAATCTACGGACAAAAATTTACTTTATCGAATTATAAAGGTAACAAAACCCACGTCCGAGCTAACTGGTGAATATCAATGTATGGTGGAAGATTGGAATAACGAGTCAAGATCTGAATGGCATCCTATGGTTGTATACAGTAAGTAAAGATAGTTTTATATTCTTACTGTACAAATAGTGAGAAATATTTAGCTTTGTAACGTCTTTCACGTCATACTTAATACGGTATACAAGGTGGTTAATTTATCATCGACCATTGAATTTCTTCTTAATTAATAATAATTTTGAGCATTTTTTTCTTTGTCTGGTTGAGTAGTATTTATATATCGATTTACAGATGGTTAAATATTTTTCAGATCTAATCTTATCTTTTATACGGGGGTACCGACTTGATTATTTTAAATAACAATATTCATATTTTTCTTGCTTATACAGTAGAAAATAATCTAAATAAGAAAATTACTGATCAATAAGAACTTTTGGAAACTATTAACACTATAATACATACTGGAGGCAAAATTTCGGGTTATGGTATTTTTATCATCTTTGTTTCACTCTACATCTCCCAATTAAGTAAAATAGTCATAACTCCTTAAAAACTGGTTCAAAATGTTATAGACTAATTATTTTTTTAATTAGAACATTTTTAAACGTTGAAGATAGTTAAAAATGTATGTTGCCGTATAAAGAAATAAAGTTTATACCCTTATAAAGTGTAAGGGATTGATCGATAAAATAATTAACTACTTATAAATCGAGAAATATATATTTCTTATCAAAGCCCATTTTTTTTAACGTTATTAATTTTTAGGAGAAATTTGATAGTCAATGATATCTTCTTCTTCTTCTTCTTTTTGTATTCGACCATTATGATCATACATTCAAATATATCTGCTGCCATTTCATCCTATCTAACGCTAGTACCTTCCAGTCGGCACTTGGGTCTATCAGTTGTACGTCCTTCCTAACTTGGTCTTCCCATCTTAGCCGGGGTCGTCCTAAGGGTCTCTTTCCTTGGGGATTCTCACATTGGACCATTCGGATTACAGTCCCTTCTTTTCTCCATGCGTGTCCTGCCCATTGGAGTCTCCTTTTTTTAATTTCTTTGATTATATCAGGTCTTTGGTACAACTGCTTAAGTTCTTCGTTTTTTCTAATTCTCCATTCCCCCGTGACCTCATCTATACACGGGCCGAAGATTCGTCTTAATATTTTTCTCTCGAATATCAGTAACCTATTTTGATCTGATATCCGTAATGTCCATACTTCACAGCCATACATTACCACTGGACGGATGAGGGTGCAATAAAGTTGTATCTTGAGATTCTTCGATAACGTTCTCGCCTTCAACAACTTACTTAGTCCGTAATAACACTTGTTACCGGATTGGAGTCTTGCTTTTATTTCTAAAAGTTCTTCGTTTTTTTGTGTCATTATAGATCCCAGATATTTGAACTCTTGCACTCTCTGAAACTTATACTGCCCAACTTCTAGAAATGGGTAAACATGATCTGCGAGCTCTTTTCTCTGCACGATCATGTACTCAGTTTTTTCCTCGTTTATTTCTAAACCTATTTTTTTTGCCGTATTTAATAGTTTTTCCGCTTGTTCCCTAAGAATTTCCTTCTTTTCCGCTAGTAATACAATGTCGTCTGCGTAGGCCAATACTCCGATTACGCAACCTCCCAATCGTACTCCGTTATCTTCAACACGGCTCTCCCTGATAACCTTTTCTAACGCTATATTAAACAGTATGGGTGACATAGCATCCCCTTGTCTCAAACCAGTCGATACGGGTATCCCTTGTGATACAATATTGCCAACTTTAATCTTGATTTCTGTGTGCAAGATGTTTGCTTTTATCAGATTAATTAATTTTTGAGGCAATTTGAACTGTTTTAGTACATTCAACAGAGATTCTCTATGTATACAATCATACGCCTTCTTGAAATCAACAAATAATACATGCACTTCTCTGTCAAACTCCCACATTTTTTGAAAAATTTGTTTCAAAACAAATATCTGATCTGTAGTAGATCTATTTTGTCTAAAACCTGCCTGATAATCTCCTAAAATATCTTCTGCCCATGGCTTAATTCTGTTTAATATACATTTGGATAGCACTTTATATGTAACGTTTAATAGCGCGATACCTCTATAATTATCACATACCTGCTTATCTCCCTTTTTGTGTATAGGATATATCAGGGCTGTTTGCCATTCCTCTGGAATAATTTCTTTTTCCCAAACTTCTTTTATTAGCTCGGACATATATTCAAGCAAACCATTTCCCATACTTTTGATCAGTTCTCCAGGAATACCATCTTCTCCGGGTGCCTTATGGTTCTTTAAGTTTCTTATTTGTTCTTGAATTTCCTCCTTACTCGGTGCTAGGCAGATTGTATCATTAGTTTCCATATTCTCAAAGTGGAATAAACTATTTGGCGTATTACAGTTCAACAGCTGCTTAAAATAGTTTGCCCATTTATTTGCTATCTCTTCCTTAGATGTGATTAGCGTTCCATCATCATTTTTTAGAAATTTCTCTGGCTGCTTATACTCCTTACTTAAGAAGTTAACCTTTTTATATAGGTCTCTCGTATTGTGACTAGCAAAATCCTGTTCTGCCTCCTTAAGTATGTTTTGTAAGTATTTTCTTTTTTCGCACCTTAATATGTTACTTGCTTCTCGTTGTCTCCTTTTGAATCTTTCTAACTTCTCCACATTCTCAGTGTCGGACAGCCATATATTTCTAGCATTTTTTCTTCTCTCTATGGCTTCCTCACAAATACTATTAAACCAGGTTTTTTTCTTTGTTTTTTGTTTTCCTATTGTTTTTTCTGCTTCTTCTTGAATAATTTTTTTGACTGTTTTCCACCTTTGTTTCACTTCTCTGCCTGGCTCACTTGCAGTCAGCTTCCTTAACTTTTCCTCTATACCTTTTTGAAAATTTTCAACTACCACTGGATTGTTAAGGTTCGTGATGTCAAACCGTCCCGTCGTTCCTCCTCTCTTTATTTCTTGTCTTCTTTTCAACTTCACTCTCAGTTTACCAGCCACAAGAAAGTGATCCGAATCGTTGTCGGCACCACGTACGGTTCTTATATCTAAAATACTGTTTTTGAATCTTTCATTTATAAGCACATGGTCTATTTGGTTTACATGTCGTCCATCTGGTGACCTCCACGTACCTTTGTGTATCTTTTTATGTGCAAACATGGTACTTTTTATCCTTAAATTTCTTCCCGTTGCCAAGTCTATAAGTCTGCACCCATTATCATTTGATAACTGGTGTAGACTATGCCCTCCTATTATCGGTTTAAAACATTCTTCACGTCCAATTTTTGCGTTAAAATCTCCCAATATGATTTGTACACAACCTCTTGGTATCTCACACAGTATGCTGTCTAACAACGAGTAGAAATCATCTTTTTCATTTTCATCTTTGTCCTCTGTAGGAGCATGCACATTTACGAAGACTACTCCAAACCATTTTGTATCCAGTGTCAACATCGTTAATCTAGAGTTTATAACTTTAAAACTTTTTACTGCTTTTAGTAGCTTGCTGTTTACCGCGAATCCACTTCCAGCTTGTCTTCTTCCGTCACAAGCACCAAAAAATAGCGTTGTATTACTGATTTGCAATGAGCCCGCATCTTTCCACCTCATTTCTTGTAGTGCCACTACTCCTAACTTGTATCTTTCTATCTCTCTAACTACTGTTCCTACTGCTCCAGGTTTAAATAAAGTGCGTACATTCCAGGTCCCAAAACGTAATGCCGATTTCCAGTTTTCCAGTCTTAAGTCCTTTAATCCACAATTCCGAGGCAAATTTATATTTGATTCCTGAACAAGAAATTTTTACAGGATAGGTTGTTAGCCTATCGCCAACTCCATTATACCCATGGAGAGGGTAGCTCGGGGCCCCGGGTTCACCAAACCCGTAGTACTAATTGCTTAGTACCCCCCTGAGGGTGATATCTACAGTAAATAATTATATTATATACTCATATATATTATAAAATAGTAAGTATTAATTTTTGAATTGTAAGAACATTTGTCACTGTTTATATTCATAACTAGAGTTAGTCGGGTTTCACATTATTATTTTGTCTAGTAGCCTTCGTTGAATTTTTTTAAAATAATAAGTATTTGTTTTTTATACAATATAGTAAAGATTATTAAAATAAGAAATTTAAAAATTAACTATATTTTGGACATTAACTTAACCAAATGGAATTGCATTTTGAATTCTATTAGCTCTGTTGCCATGCTCACTCGCAAAGAAATAGATAGGAGACGTGATGTTTAAAAATATTTCAAAAAATTAAAGCACTCAAAATTGAAACTTATAGCTTATGTATAATAAATATAAACTATAATACGATTTAAAGTTAATTTAATTTTGTAGCTTTTTATTTTCCTTTTAAAAAAATTATAAAGCGACTTTAGTTTTTTTCACATATAGAAGTAAAAATTAGAGAAAACAATTGCGGTAATATATATTTATGATTTCTTATAATTTTTATTTGTTTTTAATATCAGGAATTTATGATTTTTCATTTAAAAAAATCATATATATTATTTTAAATTCAAAGTTAGGATATTAAGCCGTTTTTATGCAAATTGATGATTTCTTAGGGATATATTAAGAAAATCATATATGATTTAGCCATCGATTTCAACTCTTGATCTTTATACTTTGAGTTGACTAATTTCTTAGAAATATATTCTACACATTTAATGTTTAGTATATCTGGAAGCAATAAAATTTTATTTTAACTTTAAAGTGAACTTAGATATGGATCGTCAATTTCAAAAATGTAAATGGTCCGAGTATTTTACAGATTTTTATTATTATTTTTAATTTTACTTGTAATTTTATTAATACCACATTATTTTTATCTTAGTATATGTCATTTTCAAAGTTCACTTCGCTTAAAAATATAATATTTTTTAACATATTTTATTAAAAAAATTCTACTAGATCGAATTTTTTATTAAGACAAAAAATTTTAATCTTGCACTACTAATGAAAGCTTTTATCGAATAAATACGTTTATATACTTTAGTTTGTCATGTTGTTTCCTAATGTAGGTATGAAATATAAACAAGGTGAAAACATATGAAATCCGCGTCCTAAATTAATCTGAATAATTCGATTTGATGTCGCCTACAAATCATGACCGTACGTGCGTAGAGATGCTTACCCGAGACAATACACGTCGACCACATCTCTATTGCTCTTATTTAAAAAAAAATCTCAGTTGTTATTGTTTCTGTTTTCATTTCTATTATAGTCGATCGTGGTTAACAATAAAAATATGTTACGTGGTGCTGTTTTAAAATAACAAGTGTGTCGTAGTGAACTAATTTAACCATGCATTCCAATATGTATTCACAAGACATGGATAAAAAAAAGTTATAATAGTCAATAGGATAGAATATTGTAATCGCCATCCGGCCACATATTAAGTACGTTATTAAAAGATATTTACTAGAACTTATGTTCATTATTATACATTATGCAGGATGGTGGGAGTGAAAATATATAGGCTGAAATTACACGAATTGGCTTAAATAAAAGTACATTTACATTTTCGATGTAAAATTTTTTTACCACATTTCGCAATTTTGTGAAAGGGTCGATTTTATTAAAAGTATAAAGAGAAAACTTATTAATATAATATTTACATTAGTTTATTTTGGCACCTATTCATTTTTTGAGAAAGCGATCAAAAAGAACTTCTTGACGTATAAATTCGCACTGGGTCATTTTATTTTTAGTGAGTCAAACTTTGGATGATTTATTTAAGCATACTCAGACGACATCTGAGAATCAGCTGGTAAATTCTGTTAGCTAGTATATTTATGTTAACCAATTTCCATAGAGTATAATTTAATTGAAAATGCAGTAAAATAGTGTTATTTGTATAAAAGTTCTCTTTAAAAATTTAATACATTATTTTAGAAACCACATAAAATTGAAAATATAATTAAGCTAAATAAAATAACTAATCTTTTAATCATTTTATAATTGTATGATAGGTGTTTAAAAAAATTTTCTTTTTAGAACTTTTCTGAAATCAATAGTAGCTTCTCTTATAAGGTAGCTTGAATCATAGTTAGGGTTATTGTTGCTTAGGGACAGGTGTAGAAGCCAAAATAGCGGGCAGCAGGTGTTGTAAAATGGAATGAAGGTTGCAAACCATGTCAATTTTAGACTTTGATAGTAATAACGTGGTTGTCACTTGTCAGTGGACCTACCGAGAAGAAACGAAGTTCTCGGCAAATCGATCAGCCATGTCGCAGATTGTCCTTAATATATAATACACTATACATGATATTACGACGTCAAATCCGTTTAGATTGATATAATATGTAAATTATATAGACTGCAACATTTATGCATACAGATTTACATAGGTATCACTATAGGACGATGCGTGTACCTAATAGATAGATGTATATAATGATATTCGCCGAGAATGCGGCGAATATATATTTCATTAGTAGACAATGAAGAAAATAAGTGCGTAGACGATGAAAAAAAGCAGTATGTGAGCAAAATAGCTTAACAGAGATGACTGAGAAAATTGGTCTGAACCGTGGCAGTAATGTAAAGTTACAGTTATGCGACGTGACGTCAACGATCATCAGTATTAAAAAAATCTTGAAAATCTTTGTATATTGGTTTTTCTTAAAAAATGGAGGAAATAATTGAATTTGGATACTAGCGCATTAATAATTTTCAAGACTAATTTAATCAAAACATGTCAAAAGTATAACTAAGTTATTTTCTTTAAAAAACGCACGAATGAACAACAACCTCTTATAATAAATTACAATAATTTAGATATAACAGTGAATTTGAATTAAAAAGGAATATCATTTGACATTTCTTACATGTTTTATCTTAAAATAATTTAAAAAGTGATATTTAAAATATATTGTCTTGTGATAACATTAGGAAAAATAATATGTAAGCCAAAGCAAAATGATAATAATTTTTACTATAATATAGTTCTGAACAACAGTAGATTATAATTAAAAACAAATATAGTTATGGCTTGTTAGTTTTTAGGACATTAGATAAGTACAAAGCAATTAGTTAAAATTGTTTAATTCAATGAAATATTAATTTATTGTTCAATATATTTCAAAATAAACATACTTAGTTCTATAATGAGAAATATTACTAATTCTATGCTCTTTTATGGCAATGCAATATTTTAGCTTTTATTTTGTAAAATAAATAATTCTGATGCATGTCATGAAGTAGTATAATTTTACAAAGGATACAATTAACTATATTTCAAGAGGCGTCTAGCTATTTTGACTGTCGAATAATATTTTAAAACTGAAATTTACTTGTTGTTATTATATACTTTATTAAGATATTGAACAATTATAAAGTATACAACTTATGTTAGATGACTAAATTTATGTCGAGTGTGATAGTATTATCTGTTATCAAAATTATATATCCAGCAAAAACAATTTGAACTATAATTAAATTTAATTTACACGAAAACAAAATAAATCATTACTATATAAATTAACAAAAATTTACATTTTATTAAAAATATTGCACTCCACGTGTACTTTTGTAAGTGGGGTTTTCGACGGCCCGTTGTAATATAACGGTTGAATTTCTGTTTTGAAATAAATATTTCAGTCAACTTGGTTTGCGTAATACGTTTGGATACTCTAAAATAATAACAATAATGAGTTACATCCAGAATAAATGTAATAAACCGTAGGAGCACGCAATTGGTATCAGAACTGTTCCCCTAAACATAACAATTCATTTTTGAATTAAAAAAAATTGATTGANAAACATAACATAACATAATATGTTCCCCTAAACATAACAATTCATTTTTGAATTAAAAAAAATTGATTGATTACATTATAGTTTGTGAAAAAAAATAGTAATGATTTGATTAAATATTNTGATTTGATTGAATATTATTATTTTAAAACTTTATACGCCACTAACGAATTATTTTAAACTAATAACATCGGTTATTAAAGTAAAAGTATTTGGCAAGCTTAAATGGCTAAATTATTGTTTATTTTTTTATGTTAATGGCACGTAAAAAATATAGAAAAAAATCAATGGTCAACTATATTAAAATATGTTCAATAAATGTTTTTCAAGAAAAATATCAATTCAACTCCATGACCATTTTTTATGTATGCAGAATTGTTTAACATGAATTATAGTTAAATAAATTTATAGAATAATTTAGTCTAGAAGAATTGGGTGAAAATAGAAAAAAATTTAAATGTTTTTTCTAAAATTTGAAAACACGAAGTTAATAGGTACACACATTTATTGACACAAGATATTATTATTTTTTAACATACTACATAGCTACTACTCAATCATTTTAAAAATTATTTTTTTTTTAATTTTTTTATAATAAAAAAATGATTTGCTGATTTAAAGTTTCTTATACCTACGGCAATTTTAAACACATTTGATAAAAATGAATTAAAATATATTTGGATAATTTATTGTTTGCGTTCTAATATGTGATTAATGACTCTGAATAAAACTAATTTTGAAATTTTAATGAAAATGTATAACAATATTTAGACATGAATTAGAATTTAAAAAAAAAAAGTAGGCATAAATGCATTTTACTATTCCATCGAGATAATTAAAAAAAAAAAATTTAATCAATTTAGTTTCCATTTTGATTAAGAATAAATACAAAAGTGTTGTTGGAGAAACATAGTTTAAAAGTATTGAACTTAAGTTTTCTACTGTCCTGCTTATTTTTTTTGTTGTTCGTTATTTACTTTTCAATGATATTATTTAATTCAGGTGTAAGAGGAATCTTTGGTGATGTAGTCACCGATTTTTATTAAATTTGTTTGTTTCTAAGAATAAATAAGTATAGTTACTTAATATGGTAGTTTCACTTTGTACCACTCATTTTAAACTATTGCCCAGTCAATCACACGTACCTAACTCAAGATATAAACTTTGCACTTCTTTATCTATAAATTAGTACTGAAATATCTACCAAATCGTAGTTTTTTTTAGCTTATTATATTATTAAGAAATCGTACCGTATTATAGGGTCTTGTTACCATAATATTACAATTACTCATCAATGCTTTTAATATAGCATCATCGTATTTCAACATTGACAAATACAGCATTGCAATGTAATTAATTTAAATATTAAATATTTAATTAATAAAAATTAATTGGGTTTTTTGGTATTACCTAATTAGTTATATCATCCTGATGTACAAATTGTATTAAAAACCCAATATTTTTATACTAGGTAAATTTAAGTCAAGAACAATATTTTAGGAAAACCACATTTTTGAGATTATTTTTGCTTTTAGATTTTTTGTTTGAGGGCTATTACGTAATAGCTATTTCATCGTCATTTCACATTATTATCATGATAAAAACAATAACAAAAAAATAAAATTTTTGAGGTGTTTTTAGTTTATCGACGCATCAACTTTAAAAATCTGTAACTTTTAAATCAATAACTTTCGAAAATGTTTTCACTTTTGAAAAAAACAATGAAAATCACACGTTAAATTTTTCTTTTTTAAATCTCAATTGGGTGGTAAAATGCATTTGTTTCAAAAAATAATTTGTAGTTATTTCATATGTGATATAATTTATAATTTGTATTTGGCTTCATCTAATATTACATATTTAATAGTTCATAGTAAAATGATAAATTATCATTTAATATATACATTATTAATTCAAGTTTTTTATTAGCTCCGGAACGAGTTTTTGAAATAGAAGTGCATGACGGGACAGAAGATGATGATGAAAACGACGAAGAAAGTTTAAAAAATGGTACCACCTCATCATCACCAAAACCAAAATCATCTACAACAACCCAACAGCCACCATCTCACGTAAATGTCTCATGTTACGCTGCTGGGATCCAACCAGCGCCATCAATGACAATTTGGGTAAATAACATGTAAGTGTATAAGATGAAACCATATTACGTGCGTTTATAAAGTACAGAATTTTCATTAATAATTTTAGGTTGGTTGCTGCAGAAACTCAAGTTCAGTATGAACTTCCACCAACTACATCTACTCCGAAAAGCACAAAACCAGTGCCTACCAAGTCCAGTTCAGTCATCAATAATACTACTCCAAACAGTGGTTCGTATTACGTTAAGGCCCATGCATCTCTTTCTTTGCGTGAGCCTTGGCCTTCGTCGCCAGCTTCTGCCCCTCCCGCTCCGGCTAATAGTCGAAAACGACGACTTAATAATAAATCAATAAACCAATTGATCATCGAGTGCCGACTACGCGTTCCTGGAATGGTTAAATCTACGTGGCCTGCAGATCATTATTATCAGGTACGGAAGTCAAAGTTATACACACTGATGACGCCATTACCAGCTGACTTTTATAAAGCTAAACAATATGAAGCAAGATCTTTTGAAAGTACTGATATGGAAGAAATGGATATCGAAAATGATGGTTCTACCGCTGTTACATCATTTTTGTCTCTTGTGATAATTACTGTTGTCATTAATTTGAATTTGTGAATGACTATGAAAATGAAGTATAGTTCAGATCTGGTATGTAAATCATCCAAGCACAATAAACATTTATAATAACAATAAAGGCAACATTTTCTTATTATAAATAAAAAAAGAAGCATGTTGACATTTCAAAAATAATGAATTATAAGTTTTTATTGAGACTTTTATTATACGAACGTTCGATTAAAATAGTTGAAAAGAAAATTGAAAACACTTATTTATGATATTTATAGTTTGATAGACAGTATAATATGAGTGTTGTTAACGTAACAATTGATTTGTTTTTGAAATGGAAAGCATTATAATTTGTTTGCTTAAAATTAGATTGAAAATTAGTAATTGATTTCTCGGTGAAATTGATATGGTCAATTTTCCGAGAAGGATCTCTACTATTCATTCAATAAAATGTTGTGTTCATAAAATATTCAAAGCAATCATAATAAAAGTCACTTAGTTTATGGATTAATACTTTTGAATAATATAATGATAATGTTGTATTTTTACATAAATGTAATTAAAATTTCTTTATCAATAGAAACTTTTACGTTCAATTGAAAAACAATTTTATTTTGTATTTTATAATTTTTGAAGAAAAAATGTATGCGATTAATTTATAATATATAATTTAATATAAATGGGCTTGGTGTGGCGCGGTGGTCACACCAGTTGTTGACAAAACTCTAGTGTTAAGCCGCGCCTACCACTGTAGGTGAACGGATGGGTGATCATACGCGTGCTTCTACGGTGGCGAAAAAGCACCATGTTTTCAGTGCAGAAGGCAATGGGAAACCACTGCACTTAAAATTTCCCCGGGATATACCAATGGTATTAACCAACCTAACGGTTGTAAAAAAAGAAAATTTAATATTAAATTTTATTTTAATATAATGTTTTATATTTTAGAGCAACATCGTGATGCTTTAACAAATTTACAATAGTGTAATTTCAACGCAGTCGTTAAATCATGATATCAATTTGGAGTTAATTTGAGCTAACATACTTTTGCATTTGGGTCAATTTTTGTTAGTCAACATTTGGGACTGTACTTTAATGTTTTATCCTGAAAAATGATACTCGCTTTGTTATGGATTTGGCATAAACTATTTAACATAGATTTATATTTATAAGTATATTTATAGAGTTTTTGATGTTAATATAATGCAATGAACCATAACATAATATAAAACATTGGCGATTAATCAATAATTTCATATACAGGCCAAATACATACTTCCTTCACATTTATCTTTACTTAATTTACTATTATTTAATATGTTTTGAAATTGTAAATACTATTCAATACACACCCATCTAGTCTAATAAAGTTGTTAACCCATTAACGAAAATAATTTTAACTTAAAAAATATCATAGTGATATGTTATATATTGTTAGTAACACTATAGTGTTACATTCTATAAAATATTATGTAAGTGTATATTTGTTCATTAATTATGTAAATAAAATTTATGTTCATTCAATTTTCTCTACTTTATCATTTGATTGAATGCATTAATATTATTATTTAAAAGGCTAAATTTCTATTTTTTTTTTTTTTTTTTTTTTTTTTTTAATTTTTGTTATTTATGGTTTTAATAATGGTAATATTACGATATTACTAAGCTAGGCACACCAAAGATACTTTATATTTTTAAATGTGAGATTTTATATTATTAAATTTGAAATATGTTCTTTTAAAAATATTAATATCTAATTAATAAAAACGATTAAAATTATTTTTGTACAATAGTCATATTTTTTTAAACAAAATATTTTAATAACTTTTAATTAAGTTATCAAAAGTATAAAATGGTCATTTTTTTTAGTATGCTAATATTATGTAACAAAAAATATGATATTTTAAATTTTGGAAAAAGTTTATACCAACAAGTCCCACATTCTACGTCTACATAAGTTATTTTAAAACTATAATATTGACAATGTTTCATTTTTTCAACGAATAAATGTAATAACATCAAACTTTTATTCAGTTATGTGATTTTTATAAAATATATTACGTATTATTTTACTTTGTATTTTACTAACTCACAAATTGTACAAATAATAACCAAATAAAATTTATAATAATATTTAACATAAATTTCAAACAGATTAACTAAAGCAAATTACTTATGTTCTTTTTAACAAATCAATCCGGCCATAATTAACTGATCACATATTAATAAATTCACATATTTTTTATTAATTGTATATCGCACCATAATATCAAAATAACCATAGAGTTTTTATTAAGATTTTTGAATAATAAGTTTCTTTGTTTTACATAAATTTAACCTAAAAATAATTAAAAATATATAAACATTATTATACACAATATAAGCATAAATATAGGTTAGTGAACTTGGGAGAGGCTTAAGTCACAAAATTCACCAATTTCCTAAAAATGTAGAAACTTATATAAATTTTTAAATATAAATATAAAAACTGCCGTAACCTTTTCAAAAATGAACATATCAATATAATTTTTTTTTTATAGATGCATGATGTCTTTACCTATCATTTGGTATATTTTTTTTGTAAATCTGACACTTAACCTGCCCACAGGTTTTTGGGCAGGGGATTTAAAACGACAACTTTTTGACAAAAAATTTACTTTTTCAACTTAACTTTTGAAAGTGTTCCGGAAATACTGACACTTTTATATATATCTTAAATTAAAGCTAATATAATATAATTTATTACGGAAATAAAAAATTTCGGACTTTATTTGATGGTGAAAATGTCTACCAAATGCTCTTTTTGTGTGAAAAATCTCGATTTTATTTTTTACATTTTTAACTTTATAATGCTATAACTTATTGAAAAGTGTATGTATCAATACAATTTTTTTATGAGAAATAATATTTTTTAATAATCCCTTTTTTATTCGACATACTTTATCTTAATCAAGATATTAATAAGGAACTAGCAGATCATATAGCTTTTGGAATAATACACCAATTTTTTAAAATTAAACACTATCTAAAGATTTGCATCGAAGCGTTTTTTTTTTATAGTGATTTTAATGACTGTCAAATATCATACTTGATCCAACTATGCCACGTCACCACTGTGCCGCGACCCCCCTGTGCTGGGTTGTTGTTTTTTACCTATGTTTATGATCATTGGGATAATGCTCGGAATGCTGTGTATTCTGTAATTTATTAAAAAATGATATGTCTGATTTTATTGAAAGGTTACTTTTTTGCACAAAAATGTCGACTTTGATAACACAAATTGAAAATTTTAATTTATTTTACTCTCTTAAAAGTTGCTATTATTTTAATACTAGTTTTATTTGACCAATCAAAAATCATGGTATTTATGATAAATGCCATTTTTATTAATTATTGTTTATCGATAGTATTTTATTAATATTTACCATAATTTTATGTTCAACAGTAACTACAGGTTATTTGATATAATTTTATGATTATCAGGTTATTTTACGNAACAATAACTACAGGTTATTTGATATAATTTTATGATTATCAGGTTATTTTACGGTTATATTTTGGCCAATTTTCGACTTATAGACAATAACACTTAAAAAATTTAAATACTAATTTATAATATAACGGTAATTAAATCTACAAAAAAAAAAAGGTTTTTATTTAATTAAAAATTTACTTATAATAAGTGAAGTACAAGTATAAGTATGTAAAAATTTATTAAAAACATTGTATAATATAGTTTATAGATCTAAAGTTATAAGAGTTGTCAGTTAGATCTATCCACTTAATGCATTTAATTTCAAAAGTCTAATTAGTCAAAAAAAATGTAAAGATTAATTTTCCGTATTAATCCGAAAATACCATCCTCGGATATTGATTATACAAGAGAAACAATTTTGTATAATCTAGGGTTGTCTGATTTTTTTAAAAAATAATTTAATAAATAATTAAATTTTGAAAGGATATTATATAATAATAAACTAAAGTATGATTACTACTAATTGAATATTCTAAAAGTGATATATACAATAAAACTATAATTAAACAATATGGTTTAAGTTCCTAATTTATTATTCTACTTCATAATTTGATTTGTATATTATAAGTTTTTATTTTTCATCTTCAATTGATACGATGGAGTTCTCACTCTTGGACGTATTGTAACTGGATATCCATAAACACTTTTCATCAAAACTTCAAATTTTAACTTAATGTCAGACATTTTACAACTTGTATGTACACTATAATTTCGTAAAAATGTTGACAGTGTAACTTTCATAGAAAGCATTGCATATTTCATTCCTAAAATTATATAAAATGGTAACGTTTCATTACTTAGTTACATTCTAATATACAGCTAATTTCAATAATTAATCATTTACCTATGCAGTTACGAGGTCCACCACTAAAACCAATAAAACAATACTTGTGTCGTTTAGCCACATTCTCTGGATCAAAATTCTCCGGATTGAATTCCCAGGGCTTTGGATAAAATTCTGGTAGATGATGTGTTCCTATTGAAGATATCATTACAGTAGTGCCTTTTGGAATAGTATAGTTTGCTTAAAAAATACAAATTTATTGAAATTATTATTATTATTTCAAGTAGAATTTATGTAAGCAGAAATATTACTTATTTTAACATCTTCTTCAATATGTCTCATAATTATGGGTAATGATGGGTATAATCGAAGAGTTTCTTTAATACACTGATCCAAGTACACAAACTTAACCGTATCTTCGATTGTTAATGTTTGATCACCATTTTCCATTACTTCATAGATTTCATCATAAACTTTATCCTATAAATTTTATGCTAAATTTTGTATATGATATCTACTTTAATAACGTTGAGAAAATAACTACTTGTATATCTTGATGGATAGCTAACATTAAAATACAGAAACTGATGGTTAAAGCACTTGTTTCAGAACCCTATAAAAAAAATTACATTATTGGATTAATAAATAGTTATTAGGATAATTTTTACCGCTATCATCATAGTAAGAACTTGATCTTTTAAATCTTTATCTGAAAAATTTGCTCCTTGGTCATTTAATTCCAGTAACTTATCCAAAAAGACTTTAAATCGGTTTTCTACAAGAATCATTGATAATATGTTTAAATAATAAGAATAATAAAATTATAGAAAATAAAATACTTTCGCTTTTAGAAGTATTTTCCATTGTTTTCCTCTGGGCGTGTTCAAATTTTTTTTCTTTAATTATCTAAGTTAACATTTTTATTCATTAGGTAAACAAAATATAGTTGAACATACCAGAAATAACTGCAATATTTCGAAAAATTATTTAACCAAAACAAAAATCTCAGTGAAATCCTCAAAAATTCCGACTCACAAATATCAATTGTGGTCACAAATTGACCCGGTATTAGAGTCGTTTAATAATAATAAAATACCGTGATTAATATAACTGTGGAGTCAGTTTATCATACTTTTAAATATTACTATAATATTAAAGTACTGCAAAATACATAAAAGCACGAGTGAACAATATTATGACGTTAATATATATTTCGACGGCACGTGCGGCGGATGTAAGTCACATGTAATTTGGTGTACATAGTCGCCGACGTGTCTCGCGGTGCTCATCGTCTTACCTGCCCTATCTACCGACAGCCGGACAAGACAAGTTTGGGGTCCCTATACACTAAGGCGGTTGCGCCGTACGGTCGTAACCATACGGTTATACCGTTCATCAAGAATGTGCAGGTTTAAATAAACAGCGTCATACTATTACGGTATCGCCGTTATCGTCGCCCGGTACGTCTCAAAACCGTCGCATGTCACGGTTTGACGGCATCTTATCACCTTATAATAGTTCGTAAATTGTTTTGCATATTTATTTTGTATTTTTATTGTAATAAATCATTAAAATAGAAATCTTAGTAATAATTTCTATGGACCTCTTGGTGTTTAAATAATTATTTATATTGATATACTGCACATAATATATTCCGCTTGTTACGTATTTTTTTAATTATAATATATTTATTTATTGTGCATACGTAACCTAATAATCACACATAAATATTTGTTAGATTAATTAGAAGGACTTTGTTATTATTTAGTTCATATACGAAACTCTAATTGCAGATTTGAAATCGGCGTAAAAATGGGTTTAGAAAAGTATATTTTGGTCTCTGATGAAAATTTCTTGTAGATCAGTAAATTTATTTATAAGTAATAAACAATTTTTTTTAAAAAAATATTGCATCAAGCCCATCAATTTTTATACATGATTGCCTTAAAGTAATAACTGCTATAAAGTTTTTTTATAATTTATCCGTAAAAATTACAATACTAAATTTTTAAATATCATTTTCATACTATATTTGATTGCTATAATGAATATTTATTCATATATTATTCTTATAAATCATAAAACTTGCAATCAGGTTTTAAACATTGATATTAACATTTTAACATCGAACGATTGTACTCATACGATAGTACTAAAAAAATTTGTCGTAATACATTCTAATTTTTTGGTAGAATTTTATGAATCATTTATTGTGTCCCTTATTGAAATTATAAGGATGAACTCAATATTTCCGTTTTTCTTTAGGGGTGCTTAAAAGATCAAATGCTTCACAAGTCTCAAAAATCATTCTGAGTAAAAGAAGAAGTTTAGTTTTATAAATGTTTTACTCGTATGTATTTGCATAATATATGACTGTGGACGTTAAAAATTAAGGGGTAGTAATTTTTAAAATGATTACTAATTATTTCAATATTAGTATTTTGAGACTACAAAACTAAAAAAAGTTAATCTTTAGGTATAGGAGGCGGCCAAGTTTTGTAGTCCTAGATGACAAAAACTATATTTATGTAAAAGTTACACTAATGAACGATGTTATTTATTAAATATATAAACTTACCTAATTTTATAAGTTTATTTGAACAATAAAAGAACAAATTTCACTTGTAATTTTAACTCTTTATGTAGCAAAATATTAATTGAATACTTGTATATATTAAAAACATTAATAAATACTTAGCTAAAAATCGTAAATTAAAAATTAAAAAAAATTTAAATCTCTATACAGTGTAGTAGAAGACAACTGAATGAATAAAATAAAAATTATTGAATTATTAATTTAAAACTTGGCAAAACCGTTTTCAAGTCGTTCGGTGTGGCATGTGTTGATATAACTGTACGGTTACGACAATACGGCCCAACCGTCCTAGTGTGTCGGGGCCCATAGTGTGTGAATAGTGCGCTATTATGTGCCGTGTCAAAATCAGAAACGAAAACATTATAAAAATGTTCTCAAATATAAAATCTTATTATTAAAGGATCGGATCCTATAAAGAAGTCTTTTTGGTACCATTTCAGATACTTTCTCTGACCGTCAGGGATTTTTTTAAATTAAAATAGTTTCTGTAATTGAAGTTAAACGATTTATTTTTCAATTTTTATAAAAACATCGACTACAGGTAGGTCTTATGTAGGGGTTTTATTATAAAAACCACACTATAAAAATTTATCGATTGTGAGATTTTATCCTTTTATTTAAATATTGCTGACAAATTATTAAACGTACAGAAAAAAGTTTTATATACAAAAAAAAAAATGATAAAATTCAAGAGTTAATGTGTAAAATTTTTTTTAATAAAGATACACAAAATAAATCGATTAAATTTAATTAAGTAGAAGATATAAAATAATTATAAATTCGTAATAACATACATTTTTAGTAGTTAAGAGTGCCGTTGAACTAATAGAAAATTATAACAATATTATATCGAAAGATAAATGTCCATAACAGTTGTAGCTTCTATATGCTATATTTGATTATCAAAATCAATTCCCACGCTGTAATAAAGCAATGCTAATATCTAATATTTTTTAAATATACATTTTAATTTTTTAATAACATTATAAATAATCGAGAAAATCTATTTTATTATAAATTTGTAATCATTTTATAACTTCTACTTCATTACATGTGTTTGATTTATTTTGTGTATAGTCCGATGAACAAATACTATCCCTACTACCGTTTGTTGTTTGATTATTTGAAAAAACTTTGGCGGTCTGTATTCCAGAGCCCAAAATTATCTGCATTCAAAAATTCAATCTTTGGACGCTTGAAGGTAGTATATTTAGACACACTACAATGGAGTATTTTTTATTTATACAAAATTTCTACAACTATGGGCTTTATACTTATATACTTTAAATATTATGTTTTAGGTTAGTTATAAAAAATAACATAATAAATTTTAGGTGGAATTTATATATGAATAAAAAATAAATTGGGGTAGGTAATTTTATTAATTTTTCAAAATAACATTAAAGGTGTAGTCCCAACCTTGCCCACTTTGTGCAACATTTCTGATACTATAAATTGGTTTGAATAATGAATGTGTTAAAGCTTTCAAAAAAGTCTTGTTGCTTGAAGTGCTTAAGGATTTATCCATGTTTGTAGTTGAGCTCTGATGTTTCGGACTCATTGTAGAGTCTTTATAAGCAGAATAGAAAACACGCATACTAACTTGAAGACCATGAAAAAGAAATCATTATGCAAGAAATTTGCAAAATTCTAAGAGAAGCAGTCTTACAGTCCGAAATAAAACTTCAACAAAAATGAGTTAACTGCACTCAAAAATTTAAGGAACGATAATAATGTCATATTGCTAAGAGCAGATAAAGGGAACGCCACAGTAATCATTAAAACCACAGAATATAATAACAAGATGAAGAAATTAATGGAAGAAGGACCGTACAAAATCATAAAAAGAAATACACTGAACCGAATAATCAAATTAGTTAATGATGAAACAAAGCAATACTAGATGGAAAAGAACGAAAACAACTACTAGTGACAGTTCCAAGATTACCAAGAATATACAGAGTCCCAAAAATACACAAGAATAATGTGCCGCTCAGATCTATATTCAGCGCCATAAACTCGCCTACATACAACTTAGAAGGTTACTTAGCAAGAATTCTGAAAACTAACACTGGAAAAACGTCTTCTTATGTGAAAAACTCGATGGATTTTGTGAAAAACTACAACAAGTCAACTGGGAAGAACGAGGCATTGTCCTCAGCTTCGATATTGTCTCGTTATTTACGATGGTGTCAGAGATGGACACACTGAATATTATAAAAGGGAAAAAATGAATAGATACCATTTATAGACACCATCTACGAACAAACTGATGGAATGGCAATAGGATCAAGACTAACACCAGTATTTGGCAACATATTCATAGAATGGTTTGAAGCGGAAACAATAAGCACGTATACTCAAAAACCAAAAATGTGGTTGCGATATGTAGATGACACATTCGTTTTATGGCTACACGGCGTGGAAAACTGCAATCTTTCCTGCAACATTTAAACAGCATAAACAACAACATACAGTTCACAATGGAAACTGAGGAAAACGGAAAATTGCCATTCCTGGATGTAATGGTAAAGAAACAGCCTAATGGGATATTCGGCACAGAAATGTATAGAAAAAGTTCACATGCAGATAAATATTTACATTCCGATTCACACCATTGCCCCTCACAGAAAATGGGATTATTACATACAATGGCAACAAGAGCAGTCAGAATAGCTGTTGAAGGTCATGTGAATGAGGAAAAAACATATATACGACAAGCACTAATGAATAATGGATACATAATTAGAGATATTAATAAGGCAATTAAAAAAGCAGAGTAAAGAAAAAATGCAACCCATAACAAGGATGACGAAAACAATGAAGATGAAAAGAAAGGAACATTAATACAGCTGTACATACAAGAAATTACCGACCGCATATCAAGAATTGCACAAAAATTCAAATTAATAACCGTCTTCCAACCAAACATAGTTTCAGGATCACTACTCCGAAACCCAAAAGATAAACTGCCAGAGATGCAAACACCAGGAGCTTATGAAATACCGTGTTCATGTGATAAATTTTACATCGGACAAACAAGAAGAGCTATTGCGACAAGAATAAAAGAACATGAAAAAGACGTAGAGTACCATAGAACAGAAAAATTTGCAGTAGCTGAACATGCCAAAAACAGAGGACATGACATACAACAATTCGATAAAGTAAAAAATACTAAACAAAGAAACTCATTTTGGCAAACGGATGTACAAGGAAGCAATAGAAATCGAAAAATGTCCTGGAATTTTCAACAGAGTAGATGGGTTGAAAATCAGCAAAACTTAGTTACTTATCATACACTAGACAAAAAAAAAATTAACCAACAACACTGAAAATAACTCAATATAAGAAGAGGCTACAATCAACATAACAAATAATTGCCGGTGTAGGAAAGGAAGACCGAAATGTCAAGAATGTCGTAAACAACGTTAATCAAAAACCAGATGTTTTCAGTTTTATAAAAGCAAATTGTTATCAAGATAAGCCACTAGTATAGTTGCAGTCACCAACAAGAAACCATCACTCTGATGATGAATTGTGCAATGAGTCCGTAACGTTAGAACTTAACTACAAACATGGATAAATCCTCGGTTTAAATAAGCTAAAAAAATATTATTTATATGCATAAATAAATAAGCATAATTTATAATAATAATGAGTAATGAGTATTAATATAAAATTCACTTGATCTGGTAATTCATGACATTTCTTGCATATTTGCTGCCAGCCAGTTATTTTTGCATATATATTAAAAATAAAATTAGGATACAACCATGGTTTACACATCCTCGAACAAATAACTTTTGTGCTTCTAAAAAATTTTTTATTAAAAGTAAATAAATTTATATATAAATGTCCTTTTTAAATTAAGAGTGGAAATTTATAAGTATTTCAATTTTTTAGCTTCGATTCGAAGTTGAGAAGGTATTAATTTTACTGTGTGTTTTTTTTTTTATATCTGTCGTCACTTTTTTTTAGCTCTCACTGGACCGATTTGTTTCAATGATATGTCAAAAGATCACAAACCATATCTAGTTGAAGACATTTCTCTTAAAAATTAAAAAAAATTCTCTCATTCCCTGGTGAAATCCTCTAAAAAATTACGATTTTTAAAATCAGTAAATTCCAACATATTTTAAACTTTTTTGAGGGGGTCAGACAGAGAAGGCATGAGGGTAGTCTGTAGTTTCACCGACATTCATTCACAAGAACCAAGTCGATAGAGAAGGACGCATAGATGTTATTTTTCTTTAATTACCTTATTTCTTTTTGTAAAAATTATTTTCTAAAATAAAGCAAATCAGTTTTGTTTAATTGTTCACAAAATAAGTAAGTTTGATTTTTGAAGCATCAATGAAATAGAATAAAGCAGTAGGACCCGATTAAGTGCCAGTAGAAGTATGGAAAATATTAGGCGGTATTGGCATAAGGTTTAAGGAACTTCTAATTAAATTTTATTAGAAGGGAAAATTCAAATGATTGGAGGAATAGTATTATGGTGCCGATATTTAAAAGTAAATGTGACATACAGGAGTGTGGAAATTATAGAGGAACAAAGTTTATGAGTCATAGTATGAAAATTAGGGAAAAGGTAATAGATAAGACAATAAGAAATGTGACATCGGTATCTAAAAACCAGTTTAGATTTATGCCTGGGAATTCAACAATGGAGTCAGTATTTTGTGTGAGGCAACTAATAAAAAATTTAGGAAAAAGAAAAAAGCTGTGTATAGTGTTTATAGATTTGGAGAAAGCGTATGACAGAGTCCTGAGAGAAGTTTTAAAGTGGGCATTAATGAGAAAAGGAGTCCTTTAATTCAATAGAAGATATATATGATGGCACTTGTACCAGGGTAAAAATCTTACTGTAAGAGTGCAATAAAGTTCTGCTTTAATCCCTAACTTATTCTTTATAGTGATGGATGAAATTACTAGAGGAATACAAGGAGAGATGCCGTGGTGCATGTTGTTTGCTGACGATATAGTATTAATAGCAGAAAATAGGGAGGAAATTAATCAAAGGTTAGAGGTTTGGAGATCAGCTTTTGAAGAAAAGGATTTATGAATAAGTAGAAATAAGACAGAGTTTATAGGGTACAAGTTTGACAAAGGAGAACACGAGGTAGGTGAAATGAGGAGATTATTGGCAATAGGCGAGGACATGATTGGAGGGGTGGAAAATTTTAAGTATTTAGGGTCAGTTTTACAAAAGAGCGGTGGTATTGACGAGGATAAAAGACACAGAATTAAATACGGGTGGTCGAAGTCAAGAGAAGCGTCTGGCGTCTTATGCGATAAAAGAATTCCAATGAGGCTGAAAGGAAGATTCTACAAGACTGTAATAAGGCCAGCTATGATGTATGATTCAAAGTTTTGAGTGGTTGATAAGAAAGTAGAGCAGAAAATGAGTGTAGTAAAATGAAAATACTTAAATTGGTGAGAGGAGTGATTAGATGAGATAAGATAAGGAACGAACATATAAGAGGGAGTATAGGTGTAGTATCCATTTTGGATAAGATGAAAGAAAATAGACTTAGATGGTATGGTTATGTTATGAGGAGAGAGGAATCGAAAGCTGTAAAACAGTTATAGAAATGAATGTTGAAGGAAGAAGAGGTAGAGGAAGACCAAAAAAGAGACGGAGGGATGCTATTGAATGCAATATGAGGACAGCTGATGTGAGAGATCATGTCAAGTGAAAGTTTAGGATAAGGGTGGCCCATCCCAAATAGTTGGGATTAATGCAAGGAAGAAGAACAAGATTTTTATTGAAAAAGACATATATAGCAGTTTTAAAAATACATTAGATTTTACACTTGTTCTAATTACTTTTTAGATAAATAATAAACATGCATAAAAAGATTAAATACAAAAGCGAACAAAACTCCTAAAAAAAAAAAACTGTAGAAAACTACAATTTGAAAATTTTTACAGTTTATTCAAAATTATTGTCTACATAAATGTATACAATATATTTATTAATACTAAATGAAATATTGGATAAAAAATAAATATAATGTTCAATTTTAGAAAGCATATGATTTATTTAGCTCTTACTCATTAATTGCATTGCTGAAAACAAATTTATCATCGCTTTGTGTATCACAGTTATATCCCATTGAGGTTTCTATAAAACAAATAGGGTTTAAGTTTTAAGTCTTAAAATAAGTATTAGAGATAATATATTTTTTCCTTAAAAATATACAATTAAAAATTTTTCACAGTGGGTTTGAGGCACAAATTGGACGTGACATAGTTGGGCAAGTACAGATAATATCTGACAGTGATTAAAATCACTGCCATAACAAACGCTTCGATGCAAATCTGTAGATAGTATTAAATTCTAAGAAATTGATAATAATTATAGAAGCAATATCAACTCCTATTTCCTTAATTATATTCTGATTATTTTTCTTTGATTTAAAAGTATAATATATGAATAAATATTAATCATAGTATTTAAATTTAGTATGAAATTGATAAAATTAATAAATTAGTTGTATATTTCTTTACTTTTAACGTGTATAAAAATCTAAAGGGCTTCATTCAATACTTTTCAAAAAAAAATTTTTAGTTATTAAGAGTAAATACATTAGTCTACAAGGAACTTTCATCAGAATCAAAAATATAATTTTCTAAATCAACTTTTCGCGCTGTTTTCAAATATGCAATTAGACTTTTTTTTTTTTGATTATAAAGGGATTATTAAAAAATATTATTTCTCATAAAAAAATTGTGTTGATCCATACACTTTTCAAAAAGTTAAAGCACCATAAAGTTAAAAATTAAATCGAGAATTTTCATAGAAAAATAGCATTTGATAGCCATTTTCACCGTGAAGACAAAATAAAGTACAACATTTTTTTTTTTTTAATATTAAAGTATATTACATATGCTTTAATTTAAGATATATATAAAAGTGGCAGTATTTCCGGAACACTTTCAAAAATTAAGTTGAAAAAGTTCTACATTCTCTATGCATATTTATGTTTTGAACCCCCCCTGTATTGAGGGAAATGGTTCGATTTAAAAAAACAGTATTTCGAATGAAAGATGTATATAAATACTACTTTTCATGAAAAAACTATATTGATCCATACATTTTTCAAAAAGTTATAGCATAATAAAGTTAAAAATGTAAAATACAAAATCGAGAATTTTCACACAAAAATAGCATTCGGATGTCATTTTCACCGTGAAGATAAAATAAAGTCCGAATTTTTTTTTTCCATAATAAATAACAATACATTAGCTTTAATTTAAAATATATATAAAATTTAAGTTGAAAAAGTAAATTTTTTGTGAAAAAGTTGTCATTTTGAATCCCCTCCCTGTGGGCAGGTAAAGGGTCAGATGTAAAAAAAAATATACCAAAATGAAAGGTAATGATATCATGCATCTATATAAAAAAAATTATATTGATTTGGTTATTTTTAAAAAAGTTATAGTAATTTTAAGTAAAAAAAATTGAAAACATTTCAAATATTAGCGATTTTTAAATTTTGTTATTTTTTTNAAAACATTTCAAATATTAGCGATTTTTAAATTTTGTAATTTTTTTTGAGGTTTCCCCATTTACGGGGAACGAGAGAAATTTTTTCAATTTTTGAGGATAATTTCTTTGACTATTTGTGATCTTTTGACGTATCATTGAAAGAAATCGGTTCAGTGAGAGCTGAGGAAAAGTGGTAATAGACACAAAAAAAAACACATCATAGTAAAATTAATACCTTCTTAGATTTGCATCGAAGCTAAAATAATTAAAAACAGAAAAAAAATTATTTTCAAAAAATTACTGATTTTTATTTATAATATGCTAAAACTAATAAATTCAAAATTTTATTTTTAACCTAATTTTTTTTTTTTTTTTTTTTT